AAAAAAAATGAGGGAAGTTTCTGGAAGGCTCTGCTCCCTTCTGGATGCTCTGGGATGCAGGTTGGGCATCACAGCAGCTCCAGACCAGATGATCCCTGCCAGCCTCTGCTCCTGCTCCAAAATTCCCACTCCAACAGCTGGAAATGCAGAGTGGAGCATCCCCAGCCCTCCAGCAGAGCAGAGGCACAGGAAAAAACCACAGGGAATGTGGGGAAAAGGGGAAACACGAGCTCTGTAAACACACTCTGTGCTCCTGGGTGGTCTCCCAGCAATTCCAGGGTCCCTTGGATCCTCACTGCTGCAGCATCGTTTATTGGGATACATCCACACCTCGGAGTGTGCTCAGGACAGACTCATTCCCAAAAAAAAATTAAAAAAAAAAAAATTCCACTGCTCTGGAGGATCCCAGGCCCAACATCAGCTCCCACTGCCAGGAATTCCCTCATTCCCACCGAGCCTGATCCCCATCATTTCATCTCCACCCTGTTAAAGGCAAGTGTCCCAGTTTTTTGTGGAGTCACTTCCTGCACGTTGTGTGTGGAATTCTGTGTCCCAGCTGCTCCCTGAGCTCGTTCCTGCCAGCTCTGACCCTTCCCTGGCAGCCCAAAAAACCAATCCAGGCATTTGGGTCAAAGAGAAGACACTGAGATTTTTTTCTTTTTTTTTTTGTGTCCCTTGTTTTGTTCTATTTTTCAGCAGAATACCAGAAAAACGCTGACAAACCCACTTTAAACTGAGAACAAAACATCGTGCTGGCTCACCATATATTAACCCCAAAATTCTGTATATCGACAGCCCTACACCCCTGCTGGGCTCAGGGCCTTTGTGAGAACCCAGGAACAGGGATTATTTTGGAATTACACCACTCAGTAAAAGCAGAATCCGGCCCTCAAATCCTCCCATCCAGCTGCTGGTGCCATGTGTACATATCTGCAGTGAAGTAAACAACGAATTTTTTTTTGGCTAAAAATTAGAATAACAACTTGAAGTGAGGCTTTTGGCATCCCCTCCTTCAGCAATTCCCACAAATCTGTGCTTAAAAATCACCGTGGAAAACGGGGCAGCGACAGGGAAAGGAATAAAAGCGTTTTAAATCCAAGTTGTTGCAGTTTTAGGAATAATGAGCTCTGGCCACCATGGATGTCCAGGGTAAATCAGAATAAATCCCTGATTTTCCCTTCCATGCAGACCTCAGCTGATCCAAATTCATCAGGAATTCATGTGGCTTCTCATTATCTGAAATATTAATATATCATATTAATTATATGTTCATTATCTTTCTTTATTGGTATTATTATTATTATTGTTATTGTTGTTGTTATTATTATTATTATTATTATTATTATTATTATTATTATTATTATTATTATTATTATTATTGGTGCTGCTGCCTGAGCTCACTGTGTCCCCAGCTAAACCAAAAATAAAGTTCCTGACCCAATTAAATTCACCCTCCAGGATGACAAAAGGTGAGGAGAGGGGACAGAGCAATGGGAACAACCTCAATTAACAGGAATTAATTAGAAACAAAGCCCTCCTTGCCCACTGCTGAGCCACCTGTGGGGGAAATAAATGCCAGGTGTAAAATAAAATGTGATTTAGGCAGCTCTTGGGTGTTCCAGATTTATATCAATTATAATCCCTGGGGTTTGATCTCTGCTCCCTGCTCGCCCATCCCCTTCCTCTTGGTGTCACTGGGAATTTTCCCGGAGTGGGACACAGGAATTGTTCCCTGGGCTCAGCCCTGGCCTTACACAAAGTGGGAACCACAACCAAGGCTGGAAATTTCTGAAAAGTCCGAGTTAGGGAACTGAAATCCTGCTCAGAGAGAAGCAAACAGCCATAAACCCTCTCAGCCTAAAGCAAGCTGAGATTTCACTGCCTGGATCTGATATTTTATCTCCTGACTTCCCTGATCAGATACCAAAAAAAAAATCCCCCTGCACTTTGTTTTTAATAACAGCTATTTTGGTGATTAATTCCCCTTTTTATTATCCATGCAAAACTCCCAGTGCTTTGATACTTCAGGCAACATTTAACTCCTGGATGGCTCCAACACCCCAGGAATGCTGCTGGGGAAGGAAAAGCTGGGCAGGAGAGTCCAGGCACAAAGCAAAGAGAAAATGAAGAAAAAAAGAGCAGGAAGCTCCAGCCCATCCTACACCCACTCCTCTGGGGCAGGAGCTGGAGCCAAGAGCCCTTCCCAGCACAGATCATCCCTCAGCTCATCAGATCATCCAGGAAAATTATCTTCTTTAATTGGTTTAAAAATCTTGATTGGTTAAAAAAAAAAAAAAAAAAAAAAATCTGTGGTGTCTAAAAGCTGGCGTGCAACGGTGATAGTTAATAAAAAAGCAAAAAAATATAAACAAAAATTTTCCCTCCAAAGCTGGAAAAATTATTATTTTATCCACGAATTCAACAGATCTGACAGCAAAATGATGCAGGACGAGGAACAAGGATTAGATGGGAAATGGGGAAGGAATTCCTGGGAGGGTGGGGACAAAATGTGGCCATCCCTGGATCCCTGGAATTGTCCCAGGCCAGCCTGGACAGGTTCAAATCCCTCCCATCCCTCCGTGCCAGGCTCCTGCTGGTTGTGCACCTGCTCCAAATAAACCGGGGGTGTAAGAGGGGGGAAATGCATGAAAAGGGATTTTAAAAATCCACCTTGCTTCTGACAAACCTGCAATGACTTGGAGTTAACTTCTAATTCCTTGCAGAATTCCCTGTTTTCCTTGCTCCCTGCACTTTTTGGAGGATTTGCTGGGATCCCCATCGTGCTCAGGGAAATGGGTCCTGGTTTTTTTGGGATCTGTGGGAGCAGCAATCCACGGCACACAAACATCCCCCAAAACACCAACACCCTCCAACAAGGAGAGCGTTGGAGTGTAAAAATTAGAATAACAACTTGAAGTGAGGCTTTTGGCATCCCCTCCTTCAGCAATTCCCGCGGCAAACCCACAAATCTGTGCTTAAAAATCACCGTGGAAAACGGGGCAGCGACAGGGAAAGGAATAAAAGCATTTTAAATCCAAGCTGTTGCAGTTTTAAGAATAATGAGCTCTGGCCACCACGGATGGATTCTGCAGTGGGGAGGGGGTGCAGGAGCACCTGGACATGTCCAGCCAGGCCGTGTGTCCAGTAAAAAAATAATTTTTTTTTTTTTGCTCAGGGAGGATTTTGGAGCATCCCCAGGGCAGGACCCGCCCCCTGCTCTGGGGTGGAATGGGGGAACGCCGGGATGAAGCCGCCCTTGCTCCTCCTCACGGTGAGCTCACAGCAGATAATTCTTGGAAGCAGGCACAGGGGAACTGATGGGAAACATCTGGCAGAGGATGCAGAGTGAGCTCAGCTCAGCCCCGGCAGCGCTGCGGGCACGGCTCCCCAGCGGGCCAGCTCAGCCCTGCCAGAGCCAAACCCCAACTGCCCCTCCCCGCCCTTGTCCTTGTCCTTGTCCTGCTCCTCCTTCTCCTTCTCCTTCTCCCTGTCCATCCCTGTGTCCTTCTCCTTGTCCTGCTTGTCCTTCTCCTTCTCCTTCCCTCTGTCCATCCCCGTGTCCTTCTCCTCCTTTTCCTTGTTCTTCTCCTTCTCCCTCTTCATCCCCGTGTCCTCCTTCTTCTCCTTATCCTTCTCCATTTCCTTTTCCTTTTCCTTATCCTTCTCCCTGTCCATTCCCGTGTCCTTCTCCTTCTCCTTCTCCATTTCCTTCTCCTTGTCCTTCTTGTCCATCTCGTCCTTCTCTTTGTCCTTGTCCTTCTCCCTGTTCATCCCCGTGTCCTCCTTATCCTTTTCCTTCTCCTTCTTGTCCATCTCCTTGTCCTTGTCCATCTCCTTCTCCTCGTCCTTCTCATCCTTCTCCTTATCCTTCTCCTTCTTGTCCATGTCCTTGTCCTCCTCCCTGTTCATCCCCATGTCCTTCTCCATTTCCTTCTCTTTCTCCTTGTCCTTCTTGTCCATCTCATCCTTCTCTTTGTCCTTATTCTTCTCCCTGTCCATCCCCGTGTCCTTCTCCTTATCCTTCTCCTTTTCCTTCTCCTTCTCCCTCTTAATCCCCGTGTCCTTCTCCTTCTTGTCCTTCTTCTCCATTTCCTTGTCCTTCTCCCTCTTCATCCCCATGTCCTTCTCCTTCTCCATTTCCTTCTCCTTCTCCTTGTCCTTCTTCTCCATCTCCTTGCTCTTCTCCCTGTCCATCCCCGTGTCCTTCTCCTCCTTGTCCATCTCCATCTCCTTGTCCTTTCCATCACCCCTCTGTGCCAAGTGGCACCAGGAGCCAGCTGGATGAAAGGAGGCAGCTCTGGATTTCAGTTCCCTCCTGAATTCTGGCAGCAGGGAATGCTGCACCACGTCCCTGTCTCCCTTTCCAAAGGATGGGCTCCCAGGCACCCAATTTTTATGGAATCACAGATTTCCAGAATCCCCAGAACTGCTCAGGTTGGAAGGGACACGAAGGTCCCATGGGCAGGGACACTTTGCACCGTGCCAGGGGGCTGGAATGCAGGATATGGACACAACCTCTCAGCATTAATGCAAAATGTCCCCAATTTGTCATTCCCTGTGACATGGAGCTTCCTGCAGCCGCCTCTCACGGACACACAGAGGCAATTTCAGCATCTCCACAGGAAAATACATTTTCTTACACTTCCTACTGCTTTTTTTTTTTTTTTTTTTTTTTTTCTGGAATATAAAGGGGTAACAAACACCTTCCTTCATCCTCCCAGGGCAGTTCTGCTCCACTGGAGTCTCCACTCCTAACTGGGCAATTCCTGGGCTAGGAAAGCTTTGGTGATGTCCCAGTCACTCTGTGTCCCTCAGATTATTTTTACCTCACCCACAGACTATTTATTCCATGCCCCTTGAATCCCATGGCTTTGAGGGAAAACGGAAAACGTTCCCATTCAATAAAGGCACCGAAATAGATGATTTTGTCTGGATAATTTTAACATCTCCTTTGGCACATCCTTGGTTTAACCATCTGCTTAAACCCACACAGCCCTGGCGCTCTCAGGGGAGCTCGGATTCAGATGATGGAGAATTCCATGGAATCACAGAATCACTGAGGTTGGAAAAGCATTCCAAGGCCATGGAGTTCCAGTTGTGCCTGATGCCCACCTTGTCCCCATCCCAGAGCTCTGAGTGCCACCTCCAGCTGTTCCCTGGACACCTCCAAACCCCCCTGGGCTGCACATTCCGATGTTTTACAGCCCTCTCAGGGAAGGAATTCTTCCTGATGTCCACCCTGAGGCTCCCTTGGGCCACCCCTCTCCTCCTGTCCCTGTTCCCTGATCCCAAATCCCCCCGGCTGTCCCCTCCTGTCAGGGACTTGTGCAGAGCCACAAGGGCCCCCCTGAGCCTCCTTTTCCCCCTTTCCCAGCTCCCCCATCCTCTCTCCATACAATTCCCTCTCCAAACCTTTCATTTTCCTGCCTGGGGACAACACAGACGATGCTGAACCTCAACACTGATGACACAGATGGAGCACAACAAAAAGGATGGGCGATTCCTTTTCCCTTTTCTGCTGCCCTGGGACACTTTTTGTCCCTGTGAGGTGACAGACCTTTGTGGCCAGCACAGAGGAAGGAGCACATCCAGCAGCTCCCTGCACAACAGCCCCGAGCTGCTGCTCCTCCCCGTGCTCCAGGGAGCCAAGTTCTGCTGTAAACAACTCCATCAACAACTCCAGAGGCACAGGAACACCCTCCCTGTGCCCGGGGTGGCCACTTGCCACTGGCAATCAGAGCCCAGCAGGAAGGGCTCAGCCTCTGCCGGGATGGGATGCTTGGAAAATCCGGTTGTTCATTTATGACTTCAAGAGGAGCTGAGCTCGTTTGAAAATCTAGTCCTGACTAGCCACTGAGCCTCTGCACTAAACTGGTCCTTAATCTCACCACATCTTGGTTTCCTCACCTTTAATTAAAAGGGATTTAATATATAAACCTCCTCCACTGAGGCTCTGTCAAGTTTATCCATCGGTTTTCCCATCCTGGGAAGGATTGTGCAAGTTTTCACTCGGTGACAGGCACAAAGGAATCGCTCAAAAATTGTGGGATCCCCACCCCCCAAAAAAAAAGCCAGAAATGTGGAAAAGAGTTCTTGTATCCACAGGGTTTTCTTATTTCATGGTCACGGGTACTGCAGGCAGCAGGGGCAGAGTCTCCTCACCCCTGTTCCTGCAGAATTCCCTCAATTCCACACAGGGAGCAGGAGGAATTGTGGTGTCCTGGCTCCCAGAGCAGAGCTGCAGGCTGAGGTGGGAGGGCATCCCCCAGCCAGGGAATGGATGCAGATATGGATTAGGGCACTAATCAAACAAACCTGCAATTAATCCCAGAGGAAAAAACGATCCCAGGCACCAAATCCCTGCGTGCTGTGGCACAGATGGAAATCCCTTCCCAAGAGAAAAGCAGGGCTGGGGAGACTGGTTAGCCCTGCACTTCCCCTTCCCCAGGCACAAAAATCCCGGTGTAACTCAAGTCCCAAGAGCAGAAGGAGCAGGAATTCCCAGCCCAGGATGTCAGGGCTGGCTCTTGGGAAGGGCTGCACTCGTCTGGGGGAGCTGCAGCCCCGTGGCCAGCACTGACCACATCCCCTGGCCACAGCCCAGGGCTGGAATCGCTCTCCCTCTGCAGCAGGTTGCTCTTGCAACACTCCCCAGCTGGGTGTTCTCCTTTCCCATCCCATCCTCAGGAATTGAAGCTTTTCCTGCTTCTCCCTCACTCCCAGGTGGTTCCCAGCACCAGGAACAACAACAGGAGCTGGAATTACTGAAGCAGCCATCAATTAATTGTTACAGTGCCACTCCAATACCCCGAGGGTGACCATCACTCCCACGTTTATCAGGGAATGATCACTTGGATGGATGCAGCTCCATAAATTCCATAAATTCCCAACAAATCCATCCCAGAAGGGGAGGTCAGATTTTGCTTCAGCAAATACAGTGGGGGGATCTATTTGCACCTCCACAGCCCATTCCCATCTTCAAATTCCCCCCTCCAGGCAGTGCCCAAAGCCCAATCCCACTTGGCAGGGACTCCAGAAAAAATCCAGCTGAGTGGCAAGTGGGCACAGAGGAGCCTGTGGTGATTACCTGGGCTCTGCCTCCATGTGAATCCCATTATTTATACAAAAACAACTCCAAGCCAAGCACCACAAACATAAATAAATTGACAGAGATCCCTGGCTCATCCCAGGCTTTCACAATTCTGCTGCCTCTCCTTCGAGTCAGGAAAGCAAATCCCTTCCTTGGGAGTTTTCCACTGATCCCTCCCTGACCCACAGCTTGTTCCTGTCACTAACCCACACTGGTCCCCTTCATCCTTTTTGGGATCAGCTCCATGGGATTGGGAACACCGAGGTGTGGTTTGCAATCCCCAGCAGGTGCTGTCCCCCCATGGAAGGTGCAGGATGGGGCTCTCACACCCAAACCCCAACTTCGTGTCCCACTTTGCTCCTCTGTCCCTTCCTCCCGGGGTGTTTGTACCCCAAACCCCTCCTCCAAGGGATCTGAATCACCCACTCAAGGGTTTGGGAACATTCCAGCCATCCCATGGAGCAGGGCTGGCTCTCACCGGGTGGAGCCGAGCTGGAGGAGGAGTCCTGGAAGCCGGGAGATAAAAATTCCCTGCGGCACCACACAGATCTCAGCTGCTGGAGAACACCACACCCAGCTCCCCGGGCTCCATCCAGACAGGAATTCCCCTGCAATGAAGGATGCAACAGCATCTCCCTTGGCAAACCAGACCCCTGTCACCCATAAAACACCGTTTCCACTGCTCTCATCCCGCAGAAAGTCACTTCAGTTCCCAGCTGCTCTGAAAGGAGTCATTACTGCCACTGCTGTGGGTAATATTCCCATTCAAAGCGAGGAAATGACACAGGGCTCCTCCTCAGAGGTGACAGGTGGTGACAGAGCCACCATCAAGTCACAGCCTGTCCTGTCCTGAGTGCAAGGACAGAGTAAAACACGAGCCTACAGCTCCAGTCTACAGCAGGAACACGGCAATTCCCACAACCCCAAAAATCAGAATTATTGATCCTTCCCAACCTTTCCCACAGTGGGGATGCAGGGACGGGGCTTCCACACAGCTCCCCCTTCACAGCAACACAACCAGGGGCACCTCCCAAGCCTGGGGGTGTCCCTGGGGTGTCCCTGGGGTGTCCCTGGGTCACCCCAGGAGCTGGGGACAGGTAGATGTGGCTGGGGAAGGGCTGCCAGCTCCCTGGCATTCCATCCATGGTCCCTGGCTCACCTGGGCAGTGCCAGGCTCTGCTCTCTGGGGGCTTAGGTTGGATTTCAGGGAAAGGCTCTTCCTCCAGGAGGCTGCTGGGCACTGCCCAGGTGTAAAAGTGGAATCTGCACCACTCAGTTAGTGGGTGCCAGCTCAAAGTGAGCAAAACGGAGCTTGGGGTGTCCCTGGGTCACCCCAGGAGCTGGGGACAGGCAGATGTGGCTGGGGAAGGGCTGCCAGCTCCCTGGCATTCCATCCCTCCCATGGAAACATGCACGGGGACCACAGCATCAATGCTGCTTTTGTGATCCCCTCAGCTGACTTCATTCCTAAGGCAGACCCAAATGGAAGAAATGAAATGACAAATCCATGACATTTTCCAGCTGAAGGACGCCGAGGAGCTGGCTGGGATGGATGAATGAGGTCCCACCGCTGCCCAGCGTGTATCTTCAGGAAATTCAGAGTTATCCTGCCAAAGGGTGGGGGGAGACCAGATCCCCTTCCTGTCTATAAATATTTTTCTGCTCCTCCAGCAGAGCTCTTCCAGATTTCTGTCGGAGCAAAGGAGCGCCGGGGCTGCCTCTGACGCAAGCCTGGAGCAGCTCCAGCGACATCAAACACCAGACCCAGGCGAGGACCGGGTATAACCCACGCTCACGATGGCCCAGAACTCCCCAAAAATCTTCCCCCAAATCCCCGTGGCTGTGTCGGTGCCACAGCTCTGCCGTGGGGCTGGGTGGTGGGGAGGTCACTCGGCACAATTCCCCATCCCTGAGGATGCTCCCAGATCCCTCATCCGGGGCTGGACGTGCAGAAAGCGAGCAGCAGGTGGTTGGGAATGTGAAAATAGGAAAGTTTAATTTTCCTCCTGCTTTTCTGGAGCCTGCACAGCCCCTCGAGCAGTGCAAAGGAGAGGAGCCTGGCACCATCCCGAACCTTCTTCCCAAAGGGGAGAGCTCTGGCTCAGATGTTCGGGAAGCAAACCCCAGAGTTTGTACC